AGTTCAGGTTGGCTGGTTGTGGCCTTTAATCTTGTGTATCTTTGTTGAGTTTCTTTCTAGATGTTCTGTCCTTTACCAAGAGTAGTGTGTTGAAATCTCCTAGCATTGTTGTGGAGCTGTCAATTTCTCTTTTCAGTGCTGTTAGAGTTTACGTATTTTGAAGCCCTATCATTGGGTATGTAGATAATTATTATGGTTATGTCTTCATGGTGGATTGTCCCTTTAATCGTTATATAATGCCCTTCTTTGTCTTTTATGGTGGATTTTGTTTTAGAGCCTATTTTATCTGAGATTAGCATTGCCACTACTGCTCTTTTTTGGTAGCTGTTTGCTTGATATATTTTTTCCATCCTTTGATTTTTAGTAAATTTACATCTTTGTTTCTAAGGTGTGTATCTTACAGACAGCATATTGATGGGTTCTGTTTTTTTTTTTTTAACCCATTCTGTCACTCTCTGTCTCTGTATGGGTGCATTTAAGCCATTTATGTTCAGTTTGATTATTGATAGCTGTGAGTTTATTGCTGTCATTTTGCAGGGTTTTTTTTTTTTTTTTGTGGCATTGATGTTTTCTTTGTTCCTCTTACTCTTCAGCGCTGAGTTTCTTTTGTTTGTGGATTTTTTTTTCATTTCTTTTGTTTTTTGTAGGTTTTGGGTTTACTGAGACTTTGTTTTTTTGTTTATTTTGATGTAGGTTTGTTAACTTTCTTTGTGGTTACCTTAAAATTTACCCCATCTTCCTAAGTTTAAACCAGTCTTTTATTACTTGATAATGCCTTGACTTCCTCTCCACACCATTTATTCCCTCTTTTATTGTTCTAACATCATTGTCATTTACAGATTGACATCTCTGGTTCCCTGTTGTAAATTTTTTAGTTTTGTTTTATCCTTGAGAGTTCATTATCCAGGTTGGTATCTGGCTGATGGTGACTTATGTGCTAGATTCAGGTTGTTGTCTGATGATGTTGGTTCTCTAACTGAAAGACTCCCTTTAATAATTCTTGTCTGTTTGGTTTGGTTTTTACCTAATCCCTTAATGTCTGCTTTTTGAAAATGTCCTAATTTTGCCATCATATTTGAGTGAGAGTTTTGCAGGATATATTATTCTTGGTTGGCAATTTTTTTCTTTCAAGATTTTATATATGTCATCCCCTTGCCCTCTTTCTTGTATGGTTTCTGCTGAGTAATTAGAGCTTAGTCTTATTGTTTCCCCTTTGTATATGACTTTTGTTTGCCTTGAGCTGCTCTCAGGATTCTTTCTTTGTTTTGATGCTATCTGCTGTTTCTGAGACATTCAGGAATTATTTTGTTTATTGATTGTAGATGTGATTGTTTCGTCCTGCTTTTTTGTTTTATTTGGTTATGTCTCGGCAGGTGGGCTGGGTTTGTTTTGTTGCTCGCTCTCCTGTGGGCGTGATACTTCTTACCACCTTTTCCAGGTGGGCAGGGCTGATCACTCAGCTTTGGTGCAGCTGGGATGGTCCAGCGAGGTGGAGGGGTAGGATGGGTAGTTTGCAGCACAATCTGGGTGCGATGTGGTGGGGCTAGGGTGCAGTTCAGGGCGGAGTCCAGGGGATTGTGTCAGTACCACTCAGGGGCATGGCACTTGGCACACAGTGCAGATAGGCAGGAGGGAAAGGAGAGGATGTGGTGTGCAGAGCTAAGTGGGTGGGTTAAAATAAAAGACGAGAGAGAAACAAAGGCAAAATAAAGAAAGTTAAAAAAAGGCAAAGAAGAAGCAAATGAATAAAATAAAAAGAAAAGAAATAAACAAAATGGAGGTGCAGTAGGCTTCGGCAGTTAGGGGCAGGGCAGACCCAGTGAGGCCATGTGCTAGTGGCTGTCTAACCCAGTGGTGTGGCTCAGCCTGTTGAGAAGTGGTGTGGGTGGTGCACGGGGCTACGTGGGCAGGAGAAAGGAAATGAAAGAGAAGGAGAGAGAAGAAACCAACAAAGAAAAACAAACTAAATAATAATTTATAAATAACAACAAAAATATGGTGGTGGGGGTGCCAGCCATTGGTGGTGAGGTGGAATTTGGTGCTGGCAAGCTGATGTCTCTCTCGCCAGTTGGCATGGCCTGGCATGTCAGGAAGGGGTGGAGGCAGCACAGGGCCTAGGTGGGAGGGAGGAGGAAAAGGAGAAGGGAAAAGATAAGGAAAATAAATAATACGGCACTGCAGGAGCTGGCCTGTGGGGGCATCACAGACCTGGGAAGACTGTGTGGCAGAGGCTCTCCAGCCAAGTGGTACAGCACAGCCCACCAAGAAGTTGGGAGCAGCGCATGGGGCTGTGTGATTGGGAGAAAGAAAAAGGAGGCAGGAAGAGAGAGAAGAAACAAACCCCCTCCCCGCCCAATAAAAAAACAAAACAAAACCAAAAAAACCACCAAACAATAAATAAATAAAATGGTGCTGAGGGAGCTGGTCGGTGATGGCAGCACAGACCAGGGGAGGCCTTGAGGAATGACTCTCCCAGGGAACTGTGCAGCACGGTCCCTCCAGAAGGGGCGTGGGCAGTGCACAGTCCTGAGTGGGTGGGAAAAAAGAAAGGAAGGAAAAGAGAGAGAGAGAGAAGAAACAAAAAAAGATGAAGAAGAAGAAAAAAGAACAAAGCAAACAAACCAAAAAATCACAGCCCTTCAAGAAGGGGAGGAGACGGCACATGGGACTAGCTGGGCGGGAGAAAGGAAAGGAAGAAAGGGAGAGAGAGAGAGAGAGAGAAGTAACTCACAACAACAACAAAAACAGCAAAAAACAAACAAACAAAAATATAAACCAAAACAGATAAACAAAAAAATGGTGCTAAAGGGGCTGGCCAATGGGAGCAGGGCAGATCCCAATGGCAGTGAGCTAATATCTCTCTGGCTGAGCAACCGTGTCCTGTTGGCAAGCAGCGGAGGCAGTGTAGAGGGAAGAAGGATGAGGGTGGGAAAGCGTGTATCCCTGGTTACTGCATGCTCTGTCTCCTGCTGGGACTTCTGTGGAGTTGCCTTCCCGTACTCCCTGTCTGAAGTCCTTGGTTACTGAAGTCCAAGATGGTGAATCCAGGTAGCAGTGGGCTGGTATCTCTCCAGCTGAGTGACCATGGCCTGTTGGCAAGCAGTGGAGGCCTCGTAGAGGTAAGTAGGATGTGGGGTGGGAAAGCGTGTTTCCCTAATTACCAGGTGCTCTGTCTCTTGTTGGGAGCTCCGTGAAGTTGCCTTCCCGTACTCCCTGTCTGAGTTCCTTGGTGGCTGTAGCCCAAGATGGCGAATCCGGCCACGTTAGCTGGCATGGGACCTCTGCTCCATAGCTCTCCTAGTTCTCTGTTCTCTGTCAGTTTCTTATTCCATTCGGTGCTTGATTGAATTCTTTATTCCTTCATTTGGTACTTAGGGTTCCAGGATTGACGTTTGTATCTGTTTTACTCAGTTTTTTGGGCCTTTGCTGCAGAGAGATGGCATGGTGGTTCTGTCTATAGCGCCATGTTGGCTCCCTGATAAAATCTTTTGCATAGAAAGTTCTGAATTCAAAAAATGAACAAATAGTGGGGAAAATATTTGCAATACTTACATATGCAAAAGTTAATCTCCCTAATATATAAAGAACTAGAAATAATGTGCTAAAGACCAACAGCCCAATAGAAATATAAGCAAATGAACTATGTATTTTCAGAAAAGGAAATAAAAATAATGGGCAAATATATTTGTAAAATTTCAGTTTCACTAATATTAAAAGAAAAATAAATTATGTCTGCATGGGCATATCAGTTTCATTTATCAGACTGGCAAAGATAAAAAAGTTTGATAATTGTCTCGTTGAAGTTTGATAAATGTGCTACTGAGTGAGTAGGGAAATAGGCATTCTTATATGATGCTGGTAAGAGGGTAGGATGTAAAACCTTTATGGAGGGCAATTTGGCAATATCTATAAAAATTGCAAAAGAAGACAAAAAATAAGGCAGCAAGTAAACAAACAAGTAGTTAGTTTCAAGGAGTGATGAAAGCTGTGAAGAAAGCAAGCAGGACAGTGTGGCTGAGACTTGGAGGGGCTGGGATGGGGGCCTCTGTAGATAAAGTGGCCAAGGAAGGGGCCTCTGACGGGGGACATGGCATCAAACTGGCTTCCTGGGGCCCATGTTGGGGGTTCAGTAAATGACTGCTGAAGAATGGCAGAATGACTGCAACTGAGAAACCATAGCAGCTCAATTCCCATCCGTAGACTTCAAGATTCCATGAAGACGTAAGGTGACCAAGAAGTAAAGGAGACATGAGATGAGGAAGGAAGAGATGGAGGAGAGTATGGGTGGGAACCAGGCAGAGAAAGGCTGAAGAGCGGCACCAGGCTGGTGAAGGTTCAAGATGATGGGTCTCAATCAGGAGGAGGGAGGGGAAATGTGGGAGGAAGAGGGGCCCACTAAAAGAGGCAACAGAAGAGATCACAGGAGGAGAGGAGAGAGGGCCTTTGTCTTCTCAATATCTGCAGTCATCACTCCTGGACTCACCAGAGGGTGACATCTGGGCCACTGAAGTGGTGGTGGACCAGGAATCAGAAAACCACTTACCAGCTGTGTGACCTTGGGGAAGTCATTTAACTTCTCTGGGATCCAGATTTCTGTTTGTAAAGTAGAAGATCATAATACTGATCTCCCAATTTTGTTCTGACCAACTCAATCTGAAGTGGAGCTCCTTCCCCTACCCCAGTTTCATTTTCTGTACCATCCCCCAGGTTATGTTTCCCATAACACCTATCACTCCTCAAGTAGGGTGGCCAACCATCACTATTTGCCTGGGGCTGAGGGGTTTCCCAGGACATGGGACTTCCGGTTTTAAAACGGAAACAACCCCAAGCATAGAAGAGTTGGTCACACCGTCTCTAGTATTACCTTCTTTGTTTACTTGTGTATTCTCTGCTTCCCCAACCAGATCATAAACTTTCTGAGGGCAAGGACTTTCTGTCTTCTTCATCTCTGAAGGTTGGGGTGGGGGCTGTAGAAGAGGAGGGAAGTAGAGAAACAGATCACATGGTGCCTTGAAGTGTTTTGTGACTGCGGGCAATGCCCCTCTTTTTACTGGCTTCAGAAACTTCCTCTGAGATGATATCACTTTTTATTACACAGTAACAATTTCCTGTCTGTTAAAGAGGCCCACACCTTGAGGAGAAGCACAGGACTCTGTATATCTGCTAAGTAGGGAGAGGGCAGGGGAGGTGACGGGTTCAAGGAGAAGGTGGGGAAGGTTTCTATTGGAGCCTTCTGGGGAGTGGGTGCGGCATGAGCCCAGTCCCACAGGTTAGCTCACCTGCCAGTTCAGCTGAGGGGCGGGGTATGTGGGCCAGACTGGACAGAGGTGGGTAGGAAGAGGGAGAACCCCAGTAACCTCAGGTTGGGCCAGGCCAGAGGCCATTGCAGCTTTAATCAATCAGCCAGGACCTGTGTGGTGCCTGCCAGTGCCTGGCTAGATTTGGAGCAGAGAGGAAGCAAGACCAAGGTGGGGAAGATGAGGCCTGTGCTGTGGACACTCTGTGCAGGTGAGTAGGCCTCTCCCCTGTCTAGCTCCCAGGGGTGGGTGGGACATGAGGATCGAGGGTGGGGGTCTCCCAGAGCCTCCTCATGGAGGAAGGGCCTACAGAGACACGACTGTGCTCCTGTTGGACAGAATTACAGGTTCTATTTCAGGCAGCAGTTTCCAGGCTAGTGCCCAGAATCAGAACGGTTTTTATTTGCTTATTAGTAAATAAAATTCCAGCCCAGTTTTATTTTTTTTTAATTGTTGTAGTTTAAATGAAGTTTACATTTCAAGTTAGTCTCCTATACAAAACTTTATACATACATTGTTATGTGACCCTAATTGCTCTCCCCATACTGCAACTGCACACTCCTCCTTTCCACCCCTGATTCCCCATGTCCATTCAACCAGCTTCTAACCCTCTCTGCCTTCCCATCTCACCTCCGGACAGAAGCTGCCCATTTAGTCTCTTGTATCTACTTGAGCTAAGAGGCACACTCCTCACGAGTATCACTTTATGTCCCACAGTCCAGTCCAATCCCTGCCTGAAGAGTTGGCCTCGGAAATTGTTTTAGTTCTGGGCTGATAGAGAATCCAGGGGCCATGCTTTCCGGGGTTCCTCCAGTATCAGTTAGACCACTAAGTCTGGTCTTTTTACTAGAATTTGAGTTCTGCACCCCACCTTTCTCCTGCTCCATCAGGGACTCTGTTGTGTTCCCTGTCAGATCCAGCCCAGTTTTAAAATGAAGAAATCATAATACTCTCAAGACTGTATTTTCTGATCCCAAACCAGTGCTTAGGGTCAGACACACAAGATCTGACAATGGAGGACAAAGTATTTGAAATCAAGGTTATTCCAGAAAATCCAGGCTGTGTGGCTCTGATATGTTCACTACCAAGCATTTTAAATGTTGCCTTAAACCCAGAGAAAGAGACGATGAGTGATAACATTAGTATTGCATATAGGGAAAGTGAGGCACGGAAAAAAAAAGTTACTTACCCAGCATCACTGGCAGAAACAAGAAAAGATTCGAACCTTAAAAAAAAATCCCAACAAACTAGAAGGGCCCTTCCCAAAGGCTAAAACTTAGCCCTTCTGATACTCTCATCATTGAAAAGTCTCAAGAAGGGGAGATCTCCAGAAAAAAAAACAAAACCAGACATCCTTTGCTATAATAAACCAAACCCGTTGCCGTCAAGTGGATTCTGACTCATAGTGACCCTATAGGACAGAGAAGAACTGCCACACAGGGTTTCCAAGGAGAGGCTGGTGGATTTGAATTATCGACCTTTTGGTTAGCAGCCACTGCGTCACCAGGGCTCCTTTGCTATAATAGTTGAATCCAAATCAAGTGCTAGATGGGTTAAGATGGAAGCCTTGGTGTTAGGGTGCCTGGGCTTGGGAAGGGAGTTGAGAGATGGGGGGTTTGGGGAATTTTAGGAGCATCTTTGGTTCACCATTTGGCTATGCTGAGAAATCTCATTAGCTTGCAATTCAGAAACTGTTTCAGGCTTCCAGAAGCTGGCAAGAATGAGGAAGAAGCAAAGACCTACACCAGGAAACAGGACCCACCTCCCTGGGGAGATGGGCCAGGAGGCTGTATTTAACAGCTTACTTTTCTGCAAGTACAATCACGCCCCAGGCCCAGCTGGCCCACAGGACCAGCTCATTTCTTCAGGCCCCCAGGCTGCCTCTCCTCCCTGATTTCTCAAAGCCTGCCCTTGGGAGGACAAAGAGGTGCTGGAGGAGGGCCTGCCTCAAAGGGTTTGGAAGTAGACCTGGAAGAGATAAATTAGCTCAGCCTGGCTCAACCCTGGCCAAGGGATCCACTGACTGGGGGCAGAGGCCCCCTCATCATCAGCTGAGATGGACTGGCTAGTTCATTCGCTCATCCAAACAATTATTTACTGAGCACATACTTTGTGCAGGCACCACAGGAGTGAGGGATTTGGAAGAATCACAGTTTGAGAAGCCAGGTTCTAGGGAAGAATTGGTTCATGGGCACAGGTGGAATCCTAATCTTTGCCCTTTAGCGTCCCATTCCAGGGCTTCTCGATTCCCCAGCTGTTTTGCTTCTTGTGATGTTGGTCACAGGTGTGAGGAATCTGCAAGGACCACCATCATGAGTGAGCTTGTCTCAGCCATCAGACCCAGACAGGGAGGCTGCTTCAAGCTGAGGGAGAGAGGGAGGCTGAAGAGAAACAACACCCCAGGCCTGGCTGGACCAGAAGTCTCCATTTGCCCCTCTCTCGTGCATATATCCCTATATTTGTAGTCTGGCTGCAGCCTGTGCATGAATTTAAAAAGTGAATTTGGCTTAGGAAAAAAATCAAAACAAAATGCTCACCCAGTTCAGCATGAAAAGTGTCCTTATCTCTGAATTGCTTGGAGTGGGACATTTTGCCTCTTCCTGGCTCCTGACCCCTGGGTGAACTCATCCAGGGGAACCAGTTCTCAGGCACGTTTTCCAGCCTCTGAGGGAGAATGTCTTTTCTGATGGGTGTGTCTTCGGCCCCCCAACCCCTTCCCTCCAACCACCCAGCCAGCCCAGTCCAGGACAGGGTGCCCACATCTTTTCTCCCCTAGAGCACTCTAAGGGGGTGGGGCTGGAGCAGTGGGCAACGGACAGGGACTCACAGAGCAGTGTAAGGCATGTGGACAGAGTTTGGCAATGTGTGGTGATGAAATTGGCACTGCCATGTACAGGTGAGCAAGGAAGGTCTTCAAAGATCAAACCTAAGAGCAACCAGGTAGCCCAGCCCACCATGCCTCCTCCTTCGCATATCTGGGAGGCAGAAGTTGTTTGCCCTTGAATAGAACTTCCCCATAGGATTTTCTTGGTTATAATCTTTATGGTCTCCTGGGGAGCTACTGGGTGGGTTTGAACTGGCCAACCTTGCTGTTAGCAGCCAAGCGCGTAACCCTTATCCACCAGGGCACCTTGGGAGGCAGAGGTAGGAGCAGGGAAATTTAGCGAAGGCTTCCTAGAGAAGGGGTGGGGGGGCTTGAGCTGGGTTCCAGAGGACCTACTGACCTTTTCCCTTCTTTCTTTTTCCGTCTGAGAGGCTTCTCAGGTCTGAACTTGCACGGCAACAGCTCTGAGTCTACTGATGAGGATAGGCCCCAGAAGCCCCGGTGGGCTTTGGGGAAACAAGACATCGCACAGTGTTGTATCTAGGGAGTGCAGCTATAAGGCAATATGTTGTCTACAGAGAATTTAAAAACAGTAATAAACCAAACCTAACCATTGCCGCTGAGTTGATTCCGACTCATAGCAACCTTACGAGAGAGAGTAGAACTGCCCCATAAAGTTTCCAAAGAGAAGCTGGTGGATTTGAACTGCTGACCTTTTGGTTAGCAGTTGATCTCTTAACCACTATGGCATCAGGGCTCCAAAACAATAATAACACTGAGTAAAAGTCTACTTTTTATTATCACCCTGTGCTAGTAATTCTAAACAATGTCAGTACAAAATACTCCTTGCCAAGGCAGATGCTCCATCCCTTCCCATCTTGGCCCTCTTTTGGCCATCACATGCACTGGACGGAGGGGCCAGACCCCAACCCACATTCTTTACTGGCTGTTTAGAGTTGGGCAAATTACTTCACCTCGATAAACCTCAATTTCGTAACCTATGAAATGGAGTTAGTAATTGTATCTCCCATAGCATCGTTATGGATATTAAATGAGGTTATACGTGTAAAGATCTTGGAATAATGCTTGGCACATTAAAAAAACAAAACAAAACAGTTGTTGTCAAGTCAGCTTCGACTTACGGTGACCCTATGTGTGTCAGAATAGAACTGCGTTCCATAGGGTCCCCCATGGCTGATTTTTCAGAAGTAGATCACCAACCCTTTCTTCTGAGGTGCATCTAGGTGGACTCAAACCTCCAGCCTTTCAGTTAGCAGCCAAGCCATACGCCCCACCCAGGGGCTCCAGCGTGTGATAAGCGCTCCATAAACGCCAGTTTTCATTGTTGCTGCTGTTAGTGTCAGTGTGGCAAGTACAAGGTGCAGGAAATTAACTAGACGCTGGTGATTGATCCCCTGCGAGCTCTGATCTGGCAGACAGGCACCAAGAACGGAAGTCAGGGGTCACTGTGGGTGGAGCCCTAAGTTATCACCACAGTGTGCTGGGTCCCCCAATAGCTGCTAGAGAAAATGCTCTAACTCACGTGCAGAACGAAGGCTCTTCCTCTCCTGTAACTTTTCAGCCACCAGACTCCATGACAGATTTGATGTGATGGAAGGTACAGACGCAGGACAGCAGGTGTATAAAGAGGAGCCCACGAGGAAAGCTCCAGGAAAAAGAAAAAGAAAAAAAAAAAAGGCCCAAAGCAGCTCTGCCTGCAGCCACTAAAATCTTTCAAAACCTAATAAATACACACCAGGAAGTCGCAACTGCCTAGAACGAGAGGAAACCACCTTGACACTTAAATTAGAAACACTTAGGAAAGTACTGCTTCAGAGAAGCAAAGTAACCCGTCATCTCAAAATATCATACCAGTTGAGAAAATATGCATTTTTTTCTCCCCATCTAAAAAGTTTCAGTAAATCCATATATTTGTGATCCATGATGGGTTTTGATGGGAACTAAGTTTCTATGTTCCTGACTTTTAAAGACTGATCATGCCATTTTAGAATCCTTCTCTAGAGCCACAATCCAGGAATGGTTTTTCCTAAATGCATGGCCTTGCATTTGCCCACTCTGAAGTGCCACATTGCTGCTGGTCACACACAGGCTCAGGGCACTCCCTGGGTCTGCCTTGTCACCCAACATTTCACAGCCCAGTGCCACCTGCACACTGAACTCAGTGCATAGCCTGGCCCAATTTGCACGGTTTATGGGGGCTCAGCCTCAGACATGCACATCTGATGATAATCAGATAAGAGAGTGGCCATATGCCCAGTTAATCCTGACCCTGAAAAGAGGGAATCCAGGCCAGAACCAGGGCAGTATCAACCTAAAGTACACCTACAAGGTGGTGGCCCAGTGCTCCATCTGCTTTACTGTCCTGG